TGCTCTTGAATGGGCAAAAAACATGTTCAGAAAGGTGATTGTTCATAACCGGTCAATGTATGCAGTTTGATTTTTTTTCGCAATATACATCTTAACAAAGTTAAATTTCAGTGGTTTGCAAACGATGATTGGCTGGAAAAGATCAAAACCGCGTAACGTATTTGGTTTGTACAGCAATCTGTATGTACTGTAATTGACATCCATCATTTTCAAAATTCATAACTCGGTCGGCTTATGACAATTGATATTGATGACGAAGTTGAGGAATGGGAAGAGGAAAATAAGGTTTCGATCGCATATAGCATTGGTATCAGATTGATGATAAAAAGAATACATGTAATACTTTGTTAATCAGATAATACGAAATATACAGATATAAAAGCGATGTGTACAATTTTTTTATTTTTGCCTGCTGTTTCTTTTAACTAATCTCCTTATTTCTGAATTATGTACAGAAGACACCAAAAAGTTCCTATAATCACGCTTTTACTAATAAGAATGTCAAAGAATTGTCCAATCGAGACCAAGTATTATTCGTCTGTTACTTCACGCGATATACAAGTAATAAAATTATATATAGGATTACCCATATATGAAAAGTAGTGAATATAATAATGACGAATACGGAAAAGCAATACGTTTCTTAGTGGTAGGTTGCAATTGTGGTTGCTCGAGAGTGATTCCAAAAGAAAAGTTTGCCGAATTACGTGAGGCGTTTCAAGCTCTCTCTCTAGACCCGAACAAGATATATTTTTAATGGCCCGACTGAAAACAATGAATGGCAGAAAAATAACTGCCAGCCGACGGCTTAAAAAGAAGACGCGTATTAATCAGAGAACTTTTTATTATTGATATCGTAGTACGCCTCTTTGTCAGTAAACGTATCTCAATATGTTGGGAATTGGTCGCACTCACTTTGAAAACGTCAGGCGACGAATGGTATAATACCGCGCGTTCATGGTAATGTAAAAAAAAAGTGCCGCGATGGAAAACCAAAAGATAACCGATGCTACCGCCATGAGTAATTTTTTCGAAAACTATGCTGAAATTTATGGACTACCAAGTCCTGGTAGAAACGCCAACCGAATTACTCAATCGCTTACACTTTTGCCAGTTACAAGTCAGTCCATCGTGATTTTATTGCAGGTCTTGAAAATGATAACACATTGAAATTGTTAAAATATGATGCGTTCGCACCAATTAACGCCTTATTTTCAAATTATGAATCCGAGAACGGATTTATACGACACGTGTCAACATTTTCGAATGGCTTACAGTACAACGCCCGCAAGGAAGAAGAAGCGAAAAAGATTTACTGAAAAAATATAAAGAACATCTGATTGTCCGTAACGAATGGTATTGTATCGCGCATTCACAGTAACTTAAAACGATTGATATACAGTTATGAAGAATGAATTTTCTCTGAAATTCGTGGACTACCAAGTCCCGGTAGAAACGTCAATCGATCGCTTATACTCTTGCCACAAGTAATTTACATTTTCAGTTCATCCTACAATCAACAGCTAAATCTATCAATATTCAATAGTTTTATCCTACATACTGCGAGTTAATATTATAAGTGGCGGTTCTTCATTCTTGTATGTCTATTATACAAGCCGACGTCAACGCGTACCCGCACACACAAGGCAAGAAGTATCACCGATATCATCAACATACTCTTCGTTCTTGCAAGCAAAGGCTTTGATTATTACAATTTCTCTTACTTGTCAATACATCCAATAGCCTGCCTCGTTAATATATTAATAAATTAATAAGCCAATCTACTATTAATGTAAAAACAAATATCTTTCATCTATAAGCATTATCAGCATTCCCATATTCCACTTCCGCTCCAACTTAAACTTGATGCCATTCCTCTGATCCTAGTATTCTCTATGATTCTTACTCCTTGAGAGTCTAAATTCTCTAATATCGTCTTATAAATATACGGAGACGTGGGAGATAATACTCCACACTCTTTGATTTTATCTGCAGAAGAAAGTAAGTGAATTATTAGAATTTTGTGTATTGGATGTAAATAATGGCCCGATCCGGGCTTACCTCGAAGTATCATCTCAACAGCCATTGCAGCTGGTAGCCCAACTGTCCTTGCCATAGCAGTGTATCCACCAGGAGTACCATATTCAACCAGTGTTGATGTACGTATTTCCTAGGAGGGAGGTAAAAGATAGTCAGCGAGGGAACGATCGAGCTGATACTGGGACAGTCTGATAACGATAAAATACATACCTCAAGGCCTTGTTTATTCTTGACTCCAAATTCGTGATGGAGCACTACCAGATCGGTCTCTCCTTTATTGTATGCGAGCTTGTTTTGTAGCAAGAAACAGAAAGCATCGATTGGTGTCTTGACATTTGGAAATGAAGACGCTTGCGTGCTAGAGGACGACGTGGGAAACAGGGATAACCTGTATAAAAGGAAGAGGATTTTTGGAAGATGTATTTGTCAGCAGACAGCACATATGTGATGCACTAATTTAGGCAAGAATATGGTTACTGCATTATTACAACAAGGACTCTTACCATGTTAGAGTATCGATTACGTTCTCAAGCATTTCGTGGTCTTTTGATAGCTTTAACTTGTCCGCTATTGCGTCAATTCTGGATTCATTGTTTGGATTGTTCACATTAGATTTATCGAATAACAAATAATCTAGAAAGTCTGTCTGTAAACATTTGCGAGAAAAGTCATAAATGGTCATATTCGTATAGAAAACCGATAGCAAGCAAAGTGTAAAATTTACCCAGTTATCAATTTGTCTGGTCATCTCACTCGAATCCAACAACCCGATATTAACAAAAGAGTACATTAAATCGGAGAATCCCTGGTTCGTTATAACGGAATGATAGTCAAATAGTAATAGGACATTATTATTGATATGTAATCTCATAATTTCATCACCAACATTTGTGTTCTGTTGATTCGCTTTCTACCTTGTATCGCAAAGTTCCACGAAACATTGCCCGCTTATTCTCTATTGGAGCCAAGCCATAAGTATCGACATACGTCAACGAATCTCGATTAGCCAGACCCTCAAAAGCAAAGCCATTGTAGATTGGAACATTTGGAAAGTGGTTCTTTAATAGATCTGATCCCGGAATGTTATGCACCTTGATCAAAACATGTTCAAATAATGAATTTTCAAAACATCACAGCAACAGTCTCCTATCTAACGACAAAAAAAGCTGATACAACTTACTTTTCCCATCATCCAAAATCGAGCATCGTTCAAGGCGGCAGTCAACACACCACATGGTGACCAACTAAACTTGTAACTCAACGGCAAGTTGGAATACTCTGGTGCTGGTAAGCCACCACACCATGAGATAAAAGAGGTTATCTGCGTAACATGAAGAATCGTAAATGTTTATAGATCGCATCTTTGCATATCGTATCTTTAAAAGGGAATCTCACCTCACCACCTCCCGATTTAACTTCATCGATTACTTTCATTGTCGACAAATGATCGATACCGGGATCAAGTCCTATTTCATTCAATATGGCTATGCCTGCTTCCTTTGCCCTTTAGAGACAGCAAACGATCAATAGAGATAACTTGCACGGATTCCCTCTTGAATACAAATTGAGCGTCTCCCTCTCTCTCTCCGTCCAGTATTGTTCTTACTTTTCATCCAAGTCTCTCATGGCCGGTGATATATAACTTGCAGTAACCATATGCTTCTTCATTTCAATGCAAATCTTTGCAATACTGGGATGTAGCGGAGCAGGAACGAAACTTTATAATCGTTGAACTTGTAAGTTAAATACGTTATTTTATTTCATGTCATTGTTTATACAGAAAAGCAAAAAGAAATATATATATAAGTAATGGTTTGCAGTTCACCTTACAACTACATCACAACTATCTACCAATGTCTTCATCCTCCCAATATCACGAACATCTAATTCGGCAACCTCTATTCCGTCGAGTCCTTTGACCAATGTTGATGCTTCTAGCTTGGTGTTGCTTGCTATTCATAGAAAATTTAACGTTTCTTAGACATGTTGTATTTAAAGTTCAATATAACCAGCTAGCAATCACGATACGTACCAACAGTGATATCCACACCTTCCAATTTATTTAAATAATCGACCAGTGGTTTTGCGACAAACCCGCTCCCCAATACCAGTACACGCTTTCTTTTCTCATTATGTTGTTGTACTTTTTTCTCTTGTTCAATACCTTGCAACTTGTCATATAGATGATTATATGCAGGGGTGAGGCTGCCATCTTCGGCAATTGTTGCACGTTTGAGAACAGGATTTGTAATAGCGTGTTTTTGTATCTGCAAAAAATCGGGTGAGTTTTGTAATGAAATAAACGGGCTATTTTTCTAATTCATTTTTGTTGTCAAAGAAAAATTATATATATATATTTTACTTACCAGTTCTAGTATGAATGGGTAAAATGCTTTACTGAAATGTTGACTACTTTCGAGAGGAATCTCAGTTGGTAAAATGTCTACAGCCATGATTTGCGTTCCATTGCGTGCCATGCTTTTAAATATGAGAAAGAAGAAATAAATATTTTTCTCTTCCTATCGGTGAAAAAAAGTTTTTTAATTTGACATTGTACATACTCTTTATGCTCTTCTCCGGCGATAGAATCGACATAATAGAATGGATCGTCTATCGTGGTAGAATGAGATGTGAATTCCAATGATCCCTAATAAAATAATGAATTTTACATAAGATTAGGCTCAAATGCGAGTCTACATTTACACCCGTTTTTTTTTAATATGATTATGGATATAAAAACACCTTAATGTCACAGCTAATATCCGCAATACTCAACAGTCGATGCTTATTGTTCGAATCTGCTTGGATTGATCGAAGGTGTTCGGTTGTAAGTAGCCTTGGATATCTTGCATCCCAGTATGAACCATGAATCAACATTGTCGTGTATGGAGAGATCTGCGAAAAGAAAACAAATGACAAAATTAGGATTTCCAATAGAATAAACAAACATACCCCTAAACTCTATTTCTTTGTTTACCTCAGTGTGAAAGGTTGAAATGTACTTATCCGGGTTAGCATAATAGTCGGATTTTGATTCAAATTTGTCGGTATCTTTGCGACGTAAATAATCTTCTAATTTCACGTGACATGCGTAGAGCCGCCTACTTCTTCCATCTAAATGTTTACAACTGATTCAATATATTGTGTTTGTAACATGTAAATAACAAATGGATTCTTACATTTGCCGCTGACAATTGATTTCAAGTCTTTTGCTTCCACATACTCATGAGGAAGTTCTCTAAAAATATCTTGAGCTCCCTATCATTGATATCGTTTGTATGACAATTTAGTCTAGCGCTTGATTTGCCTGCCTTCCCTTCCCCCCTCACTTCCCCTCCCCCCTGCCTATCCTTTCCCTACCTTGGCGACATTTCCACTACCAGTAAATACAAAAGTCATTGGACCGACCTCACTCGGTAACCCATCTTTGGTAATTGTATCACCAACTGCTCGTACTGCCGATCTTGCCGACGAGAGTGTGTCGTAAGTGTGAGACATTCCGATATGCTATTTTGGGAATTTGTAGTCAAAATAACAAATATAAAGTTTACAGCGATATAACGATAAGGAAATGTATACCATGAATGGTGTATTGTATCCTAGTCCAAGCAACCGCAGTCCCAGACCATGCAGTCCGTCGATCATTCCTTTAGGTTAAGTTTGTATTCAATGTCAAAAAATCGGACGCAAGAATATGGTATTGGCGATGGACGTTACTTCTCCATTATCGGGTTAATCGATTCGTACCTGCATATCCTGCGTGAGTACCAAACAAAACAAGTCGTTTCCTGTCATCGTTTGTCATTAACTCGTAATCAATCAACCGTATTCTCTACAATAAAAAAATGACGAGTGAGAAAGGATATTATAATAAAGTATAGACTTGTTATGGTAGTGACATTGAATAATCAATGTCAATTTACTTACCTTATCTAGAATGTCTTTGAGCATTGCCATGTTGTACGGCTGTCCCTTGGTCGTATGAGAGAAGAATACATATGTTTTATTTGGAATTAAGTTACGAGTTGGAACCTCTTTTATTCCTATTATTATGTCTGCCGGCGAGACATCTTCTTGTATTATGGCTCCAGCCTAAACGAGAATACTTTAGACATGCTTTGAAAATATATTTAATTTGATCTGATTGGTGGATATATACCTCAACATACTTTTCGTCATTGAATATCCTATTATTGCTTGGCTGAACGTATACAGTTGTTCCGGTTTGTTTGATGATGTCACTTATTGCATCCGGGGTAAGTGCAACTCTACGTTCCCACACGCTTTTGTCCTCTCTGCGAATGGCTATGATTTTTGGAGCGGTTGATATTGATCGGGAAAAACGTGGGCGAGTGGAAGTTAAAGGTAATCTGATCAGACGAAACATTACAACGATAATTAATGAATAAAAAAAAAAGGCTGGTGATGTTGAAGGGAAGGGGGTTGATGAGTATTTATGAATACTAATTGTATTGTGAATGACTCGGTATTCGTTATGTCTCACGGTCACATTGATGCACTAACAAAAGATATTTCATTACCCCCATTTTTTGTGCTAAAGAGAGTCACCAAAGTTAAGCTTTTACAGTATTAGTATAGCTGAACGGTGTGTGTGGGAAAGTACCATATCCGGATATATTACCCAAACCATATGATCAACTACAATAGGATTATGATGTCATCTATAATATTTACTTCATGTAGTACTAATTTAATGTGCATGTCAGGTGATCTTCTATATACATCTTATAAGCAAGTTCATATATTAATATACTATCTGTACTATCTGTCAACAAGAATTATGGGCCGTGCGGAGTTGTCTGTAACCAGCAGTTTAATAATAATGAAGAGGAAACCTTTGTCGTAGGGTGTGGAAAAATCCCACGGTACGTCACACGGATAACCAGGAGAATAATTTGTGTGACCAAAAAGGTTGCATTAATAACCTAGTTGGTCATCAATCGTGAGAGTGAAACTTGTACTAAAACAAAGTTGGTATCCAAAGTTAAAAACTCATATTAGTTAGCATTTCCATCTACCCTCTGAATTGCAGTCAACTTTCGAAAAACCGACATCGTGCAAAGTCAATACATTTTTCAATCCATGCGATTCTATTTGGTGAATTTCTTATAAACACATATCATATACTGTAAATAGATAACCGATATTTTGGCCATACTCGCAATAGAACTGACCTATATTACTATATGTGCAGATCGATTATCGCTCAAAGCATGAAATATGCTTATTATTGCTATATAGTTGTAGTAACATTGAATTTGACCTTTTTTTTTCTCGATAAATACATTTAATTGACACAAAAAAAAATATACAAAAACATAGTACATACAGTTTAAGCACCAAATAATATCATATTGATTAGATATAAATTATTTCAACTGTGTCAGATTGTTCATCCAAAATGAGGACTCAGTTGAGTAGTGTTAAATGTGTACTCTTGTATTTAGAGCTACAACACAAGTACTTGTGCAAATATGATAGTGCTAACCACGAGACTGTTTATTCTATTCGAAATCCATTACTTTTCTTGTAACTGACTTGGCGCGCAAGCCATTTTTCTCTAAAATTAACACAACAATAAATTTTGTGCTTAAGAAAACATACCAATTTCCTATATAAATAATAAACGGAAATTGTGCATGTCTTACTTACTGCATTAGCCTTTGCTACTCAACAAATGTTATAAGAAGTGTTTCTCTCATCATCGCTTCATTACGGGCCTGTGTAATTAATGATTGAAGCGATGTATGCGCAATAGAGAGAAGCGTCTCGATGTGTATGTATGAGTAGGCGTGTGTATGGACTCTTTCATCGGGTAGTGGTTGATAAACTGTGTCGTTATTAGAGGGCTTGTTTGTGGGTTGTAATAAACTGCCGTATGTGCCGTAATATAGAGTGTCGTAAGGGGTTGTCGTTATATTTACGCTTTGATATATAGTGGTCGATAAACCGTGTCATTGTTAAAGGACTTGTTCGTAAGTTGTAGCGAACTGTTGTATATGCCGTAATATGGAATATTTACGCTTGGAGATGTTGTGAAGCGATGCATGCGCAATAGAGAGAAGCGTTTGGATGTACAGTATATGTATGAGTAGGCGTGTGTTTGGACTCTTTCATCGGTTAGTAATCGATAAACCGTGACGAGGACTTGTTCGTGAGTTGTAGCAAACTATTGTATGTGCGTAATATGGGAGTGGCGGCAAGGACTGTTCGTTGTATATTTGACTTTTAAATGACATGGGATTCGCATGCGCAATAGAGAGAAGCGCCGGATTTAATTCCACACGGTTTGCGTACTTATAACCCCTGTGTAAAATAATGCGCAATATATTTTATAGAGAAGGTTTATTGGTGGATCAAATCAGAGTCACAGTATTTATGACGTATACTTTCATAGAGTGTCACAAAGTTTATTTATAATGATAATTTATTATATTCACGTATACAGTACAGTGATTATTTCTCCAAATAACAATCTAGCTTTTTTGCTTTATCTGTCAAATATTCAAAAGTTGACATCTTGTGACGCAGAACATTCAGCTCATCCGAAGTAAATGCTTCGTCGGGAGATTGATCTTGGAACAAAATAAGGCCTTTCAGGTAGTCAGCGCTTCTATATTAGACATCAGTTTTACTACAACTTCATTCCCTTCATGATAATCAGTATCTGAGAGTACAGTCTCAGATTCTACTATAGCATCAGCCTTAACCATAGATACTATACCAAAGCTTCCGTAAGAATTGCTCCTTTAGAAGTCATTTGGTCAACCCAAACGCTTATCGCTTCTTCTAATAAAGGAAATTTAACTCGACGATGTTTAAAAGCAGTTTTGGATCCTCCTTCAACGTGAAGCCTGATAGTTGTTCGGTCAATGTTGAGACCATACTTAGCATTGAAATGAGCTGCAATTTCAGTTTGAATACGTAGCAAGTTATCTGTTTGAAAAGCACAAATTTCACGTTTAAGCAAGTCACTGATAGGCGTTTGCTTTCCTGCTTTCTTTGACATTTTTTCTTTTATTTTTTTTTCTTTAAAATGACGTGCCTGTTAAATACTATCAATACAGTGTTACATTTCAAAGTACAATACATGTTTACAATTTACTTTCTACTATCGGTTGACAATGAGTAATTGTGCACACTACTGCATAGTGGGGGAATTTTACTATAACTGCTATGAAATCCGTCTCACGGACAGTGTTATAGTGACTATAATAATAAGCAGAATGTGCATATAGGGGTACATTTACTATGAAATCGGTTGGTTCCAAGAAAGGTGTGACTATACGGAGGTTGTGACTATATAGGAGTGTGCTAACGGGGAATGACTGTAATATTCAACCCAAATTTGGAAAGGGAGAAAAAGTAAGCGTTGCACACGGATATCATCGGTTCAATTAAGCGTAGTGTATTAGTATTAGTATTAGTCATGGATTAGAACTCTAATATTAAGGTGTATTATATATATAAATGCTCCATTAACTGCAAATCTTCAATATATACAAGTGACGAGGTTATTGAAAACTTCTTATTCAAACTATGTCGTTAGCATTAGGGACTGTTAATAATCCAGCAATTGACAACTTGGTCCAATCCTCCTTGGAAAGTGAAGACGAATCCTTAAGGCTTCAATGGATTCCTTGCTCAGATATCGCCGACATAAAACCAACTCAAATTGACAACTACAACG